TCAAAAAGTTCATGAATCACTGAGTCACAAAGTTCATGAATCACTGAATCACAAAGTTCATGAATCACTGAGTCACAAACTTAATGAATCACTGAGTCAAAAATTCATGAATCACTGAGTCACAAAGTTCATGAATCAGTCACAAAGTTCATGAATCAGAATCACAAAGTTCATGAATCATCGAGTCACAAAATTCATGAATCAGAGTCACAAAGTTCATGAATCACTGAGTCACAAAGTTCATGAATCACTGAGCCCCGTTCCCTTTTTCTGCACTTTTTTTCTTGTATTTATTGAAAATTAAATGACTAACCTGTAAATTAATACATTGTTTCCCCTTCAAGTTTATTTTTTACGCTCACAATCTGACCTAATTCTACAGCTGCTTCTTAGTTTTTATACCAGGGGTCTGCAACCTATGGCTCTGGGGCCACATGCGGCCTTTTGGTCTTGCTGCAGCGGCTTTTTGTTGTTTTGACCAAAAGGACCAATCGTTTCCAAATACATTAACAAAACGTTTGACTGAAAGAACAGCCGGAGCGAAACGTGTCGATCCGTTCATGCTAGTAGCTTGTTAGGCCGTTAGCCGATTCGTTAATCCAGCTGTTGTAAAGGAGAATGTTACTGAAACAGCAGTTATACAAACAAATCACAGTTATCGAATCAGAGTTCTGCAAAAACAAGGCAAGACCATTTGAAAACAAGAATTAGATGTAAAAGCTTATCTTTGATAAAAGCATTGTCATGTTCATTTATTTCCCACAAACATAAAAAAGACACACGTGGTTTGGAACAATAAGAATAGTTTTTCTTTTTTTATACAGATATGGTCATTTTGTGGCCCTAAAATAATAATAATTAAAAATAAATGCTCCAAGTCAACAATGTATTAAATGTTTTATCTAAAAGTGTACGCTGTAATAAACGCTTGACAGGTTATCTTTATTCCAGATCTCCCACTTCATTGGCCTTAAAACGTCCAGCACACAGGAAATGGCCCATGGACCACTAGTTGCTGATCACAGCTGTGGTTTGTTTGGTGTTTCTGGGTCTGTTTTATTTATTTGAAGGGTCAGAACAGCTGTTTGGATTGTAAAGATTCTAAACTGGTCTGTTGGACATCCCTGGTTTCACATCTGCATTGTGTTTCTGTCGACTCAATCCATAAAATGAATTCATTCATTCATTCATTCATTCATTGAACCTTTGTTTAAGCAGGTTAGTTTCATTGAGGTGTTGGTTGCAGGACTCAGATCCAGCCTTCGTGTTGGATGCAGATCTCAGTCCCTCTCAGAGGGACTCTCAGCTACTACCTTTCTAAATTTACATCAAACTGACAGACTGACTCCCATTTGTGTTTCACATCTGTTGGCTGTGGTAGCCATCTTGAACAGGGTTGACTCCTAAAGTTATGCAGCTGTTGATCTACATCCTGTCAGAGAGTTTCAATTACACTGGTCCAGTAATTCACAAGCTATATTGCTAACAGACAGGCAGCCTTCTAAAGCCAGGTGATAATACTTATGTTTTTCATCTTGCTCAACAACTGCAGCTTTTTTCAGCTATGAAGCTGGATTGGTAAAAACATTCCTTTTTGTTTTTTAAGTAAATGTTCGTTGTCCTGACTCGGAGGACCCGCAGAGGTCCTCTGTTGATCCTAAACCTGACACCAAAACCTTGACCCTAAGAAAGACAAAACCCATCAAGTGTTTTTCCGACCCTCTTCCGACCCTGCAGTGGCCCTAAAGGACTGAGGACAAACTGAACTTTGACGATGGTTCTGTTTGATAATGATGATTCTTCCTTCATCGTTGTACACCAGGATGTAAGATGGTTCACGGTGTTGAATTGGCCCACATCAACCAGAACCAGAACTGCTTTGAACAAATCTGTTAAAGAATACAGCTGGTGATGTGTGACCAGTTCCTCAATGTCAACAAAGTCTATCAAATAAACTTAGATGAAGACTGTAATGTGTGTGTGTGTGTGTGTTTTTTAATAAAAAAAAAAAACAAGCTCTAAGAACCCACATGTGTATTCTTCATGGTTGAATAATTATTTTCTGAAATGTTCAGGTTTTTTTCCTCAAACAGAGGCATCCAAGTATCTGATTATCCAGATGGAGCAGAAGATCGATCAACTGGCCAGTTCATAGTAAGAAGGGTGCTGCTGCAGGCTGTCATGGTGAAGAAGTGCTAGGCCTCTATGGTCCAACCCTCATACATGAGTATGAGGACAGAAAGAACCAGACCCTGGATCCAAGCAGCTGAAATGAGCTTCCTCCATAAGGTGGCTGGGTTCAGAGGGTGAGAAGTGGCATTGTTGTGCGTGTGTGTGTTTGGGGGTGGGGGGGTGGGGGGGTGGGGGGATTGAAAGAAGTCAGCTAAGGTGGTTGAAGCATTGAAGAATTTTCTTAAAATACTTCCTGGATGCCTTTCTTTGGAGGCTTTCTGGCCATGATCCAATGGGAGGAGACCCAAAGCAGACCCAGATCTTACTGCTTTTGAGAACACCATGGGATCCCTAGAGTGTCACAGAGAGGATACATGTCTAAGGTTTCCTCCTGGACCTGTTGCCTCCATGACTTGACCATTGATAAGCTGGATGTAATAATGAACAAATGGAAGATGCTGTCATGGAAAAAAGCGATTCCCAAAACAACCAGGTGCAGACTTCATCAGATTTATTACAAAGCTCTGGAGAACAGTCAACAATCACAGATCAAATTCATTTCAAATTCAAATTCAACATACTTTATTAATCCTAAAGGGAAATTATTTGTTGCTGTAACTCATTATCCTCATTTCATTAAGAGATGTTATAGATGCTGATGCTGTAGACAGGAAGGATCTCTTGTAAAGGTCCATCCCACAGTGGATCCTAAGAAACTGGCTGCAGATGCCGTCCAATCCGTCCACCCAGACTTGGCTGACTGCTCGGTTCCTCCGGGCTGTAGGACCGCCTGAATGCCGGGCAGCAGTCCTCCCAGAGCGATGGCCACTCCTCCCAGCAGTCTGCCGAGCTCCTCGTCGCTGTGGACAGCCAACTATAGGTGCAGAGGGACGATCCTGTCCTTCTGCTGACATGAGCCATGTTTCCTGCTAGTTCTAGGATCTCAGTGGTCAGGCACTCGAGCACAGCTGGCAGGTAGATGAGAATGCATACACAGAACATCCTTTTCAACTCATTTGAGATTTGAGGCTGTAGTTGAGATATTATTTGAGCTTTTGAGATGTTAATCAGCTGCTGTTGTTTGTAGAAACTGCCTTGTTGCCATGGTTACGCACCATAACAAATGTCCAAAACTTAAAAAGTATCAGTAAAAATCCTTCCAGCTGCAGCATCTGATACCAGAGGAAACAATCATCCAAAAAAATGTGATTTACATCCAGAAAAAGAGGAAGTAAAGTTTCCAAAAGTAAAATTTCAGAATGAAAGTAACAGAGCTGCTCCAACATGCAGCCACCTGGAGCAGCGCAATTCTAGAACTTTGCAAAACTTATCAATGCCTTCTCCTGAGGTTCTGACCCATTCTGAACTCCCTGTGGTAAAAACTGTTAGTTTATAGAATCACCCAGGCGCCATATTCACATATATGAATATGGTCCCGTGTTGAGCCTGGGATTCATTGTTAGTAGTTTGCACGTTAATATTTTATTTTAAACCTTTATTTACCCAGTTACATCTGAGACTTTAAAATCTCATTTTCAACTTGAACACTTTTGACCATTGTTCAGTAATGACATTACAACAGCATACACACAGTACCCATCATAAAACCAGTTACTAAGCACATTTATAATAGGTGATTTGAAAATAAAAGAAAACACATAAAGCTAAAATTGTACTAAAATGTGAGTAAGTATCAGTTAAAGCAGTAACAAAACATCTGTCAATAATTAATGTGTGTTATGCATATACAGTATATTTATCTCTATCTATCTATCTATCTATCTATCTATCTATCTATCTATCTATCT